CAGGAGGAAGTTCTGGGAGAGCTGCTTCGCCGCTTGCAGTTTGAACAACTTAATGATTTCTCGAATCGTGGGCAACGGCGGGAGACGGAAAGTGCCGAGCGCCCCGGAGGCCGCCATGTGCCTCCGCGGGGCCGTGAGAGCCTCACGCGGACCTTCCCCCGCCGCTCGGCACGCTTCCTGCGGAGGAGGAGCCTGCAGGACTTTGGCCCGCCTCCGGGCTCACCTCATTGGTCGACAGTATCCGGGCGGAACTGGAGGGCGGACAGGAAATCCGGGCGCTCTCAGCGCGCAGGCGCAGTGTGCAGCTAAAGGCGGTGCAGGTAGGGGTCCGCTGTTTTCCGCCTCTCCGGGGTGGGCGGGGCGTTGGCAGGGAGGCGGAGGGGATTCGCGGATGTGTGGAGCTCAGCAAGCTGCCTGGGCTGACTGGATGTAGATGGACGTTCCTAATAGTTGCGGGAAAGCTGGTGATAAAAGATAAAACTGTTGGTTGCTAACAACTCTCTAGCCGGTTTGGCTCAGTGGGTAGTGTGTCGGTCCCGCGTTGGATTCTGGTCAAGGGCACGGGGTTGTGGACTTGATCCCCAGGACCCCAGTAGGGGGGCGTGTAGGAGGCAGCCAATGGATGATTCTCATCATTGATGTTTTTCTCTCTCCCCCTCTTCCTCTCTGAAATCAATAAAAAACATATTAAAAGACAACAACTCTGTCTTATGGTTAGATGTTTATAGGACCTCTGCACCACAGGGCGGATGGCAGGTTTCTAACTTGTCTCAGCCTTAGTTTTTCCATCTGTTAAGTGGACAGAATGTCTGCCTTAAAATTGTGAGCACTAAACGAAAGAGGTCGCTCAGAACCTCGTGCAATGCGTGGCATATGGTAAACCTGCAATCCAGGGCGGCTGTTGATTCTATAATCACCCAGCAGGTGCATGCGCCCAGAGGGTTTATAAAACGGTCAGCACGGTTTGCTAGGTGAGAAGTAGAATCAGCTCTTCCGCCCCATATGTAATACCTTAAATCAATTAAAAAAAGAGAGAGAGCTATATACCAGGAAAAAAAATGTATACATCAAAGAGAAAAACTTCCTTGTTCAGTACATGAGACTTTAGGAAGTGTTTTTGTGTATAGTGAATATTTGTTTTTGAACTTTTACACTGAAGTAAGTAGAATAAGAATTACTAGCCTGAGTTTAGAGCAGAGGAAACAAAAACTCAGGTCATCACTTAATGAAATGTACAAAATCAGAAAATTGTGGGACCCAGATCCAATCTAAGCTTTCCGATTTGCATGATGGCTGCTCTTGCTATTAATCTGCTTTGCATTGAGTATTGGTTGCCACTCCTTGTTTACTTTCCCCAGTTTTCTTATTGCCCCTTCACGCTTCAAGTATTCAGCCTCTACTCGCAGAACCAGAAAGCCAAGGACAAAGGGAAGGAACATAATAATACTAATAATAGCCAACATTCACTGAGCTTTTCCCAAAGTCCCAGACAGAGTGCTTTACAACTATTACTTCAATAAGTGTTACAAAACATAACATTTAGCCCTAGGCTGCTGCACAGCTAATAGGTGGTGGACTCAGGATTTGAATCCACAAGTCTGTGTCCAGAGCCTGCTTTTTAAGCAGTGCAGGCAGTGTAGAGAGGTCATTTGATTTGCCTACAATGCTACATCCAAGTACAGAAAGAAGGATCAAATATGAGTTCTGTCTTTCCGTTATACCAGAGAAAACAACAAAGCAAAGAAATATCAAATCTGTCTGATAGGGTAATTTAGCTTTTCTAATCCTTTTTGCAAATTGCTGCATCGATCACAAGTGAATTTTAATTTTTTTTATTTTACTTTTCAGAGTAGTAAGTTTAAAATAAAGCTAATGGACAACCAAGTAACTATGGGTATGACATGGAAAACAATCACAAGTGTATTTTAATTTTTTTACTTTACTTTTCAGAGTAGTAAGTTTAAAATAAAACTGATGGACAACCAAGTAACTATGGGTATGACATGGAAAACCCAACCACCTTCTGTTATAGCTATTTTAGGAAGAACTGTGAGATTATCTGACACACCTCCTAGCTTTAGGAAATTGGGATATGACTCCCATAGAGGTAAGATGATTTGCCCAAGGTGGCATAGAAATGTAGGCCGAAAGCCTGAACTCTTGATTCAGAGCCCTTATTGTAACCAAAGCATACTATACCCGAGAAGGCATTCGCTCGCAGTGATAGTCATTGTTTCCTTCAGTCCTCACAATGGTCCTCTGAAGATCGGATGATCATCCTTATTTGACTGTGAAGAGATAGAGCTGAGGGCATTTGACTTTCCAGGATGCACAGCAAAATACAGAGAGAAGATTTAACCTGGTTTTTTTTCTTTTCTGAGTTCGGATCTCATGGGCCACACACCTCAAGTATTAAATTTTTTAAGTTAATTATTTAACCAATATGTGTTAATTTTATAATGTTATGTAAATCTATACAATATAAATCTGAGTAAACTGTAAGTTTACAGTTTCCATGGGACTAACTTAAACACAATTAAAAGAAGTATATGCAAAGCTACAAACCAGCACAAATGATACACAACGTTAAATCACTGCTCTTTATGCTGATTGGCAGGATTCTTTTGTAAAAAATCCAGTACTGTCCAGCCGGTGTTGCTCAGTGGTTGAGCGTAGACCTATGAACCAGGAGGTGATGGTTCGATTCCCCGTCATGCCTGTGTTTCGGGCTTGATCCCCAGTGTGGGGCATGCAGGAGGCAGTCGATCTATGAGTCCCTCTCATCATCAATGTTTCTATCTCTTTTTCCCCCCCCCTTCCTCTCTGAAATTAAAAAAAAAAAAAAAGTTCAGTACCAATGTGCCATGTAATGATTGAATTTTCTTATCAGTTTTCTGGATCCAAACTAACACCAAATCTTTGTGCAGAATGCTTGCCATTGTCTCTTGCCTTTCTCTTAAAGGAACATAGAAGCCACGTAATAAGTCTGCTTGGGTCTATTTTCATTAGGGTGGAAACAACTGAAGTGGAATTACTTGGCAGGATGTCATCCTTAATACACAGGTTGCATAGCAATAATCAGGAGAAAGTTCAGATGGCTCAGAATGTGCCCACATGAACTTCTTAAAAGATTAACACCAGCGTAAAAACCAAACAAAATTTTAAAAAGAACAAAAACACATTTCCATGGAGAATGTGGATTCCCAAGAACGTGTCCCCAGGTCTAAATATGAGAATTATTGTCTTATACCAGGGGTCCTCAAACTACGGCCCGTGGGCCACATGCAAATACAAATATTGTATTTGTTCCCGTTTTGTTTTTTTACTTCAAAATAAGATATGTGCAGTGTGCATAGGAATTTGTTCATAGTTTTTTTTTAAACTATAGTCCGGCCCTCCAACGGTCTGAGGGACAGTGAACTGGCCCCCTGTTTAAAAAGTTTGAGGGCCCCTGTCTTATACTATGCCATCTTAAATAGTCAACATTTGCGAGGTTATGACCTATATTGACAAAGCAGTTTCCCATGTTACTTCACTTTATTCTCATTTGAATCCCTCATGTAGGTTTACAAAGATATTCAGTGAGCACTGCTACAGGGCCAGTGAGGGTGCAGTCGAGTCTCAAACTCAGATCTTCTGACTATATTGTACCTCTGGTATGTGTTAAATAATTGTTGAACTGAATAAAAAAATTCCATCTTAAGAGAATCTTCCAAGTTTTTATAGTTCTTGAGATCTAATTTTTATCATCATAAATATCTGATTCTCAGTCTTTTCATTTTCAGAAAATTATGCATTACTCCCTACAAAGCACAGGCAATCAGCAGGGGGTGCGTTAATAGTGTATTTCACATATTAATGCAAATGGTTTTACCCCTGAAAAGAGAAGTATGCAGTTTCATCAGTTTTGAAGCTTTGAAGTATCTGCTTCATCTAGATATAGATTTTAATATGCTAAAATATTATAATTAATACAGAAATTACTAGCTCCACCTATCAGTGAAGATGAAGAATTACAAGTGATTCTAAGTGATACTAAGGTAGAATGCGCAATTCTAATTTGCACAAATCCCAGAATGGTTATATAGGAAAATTACTTATTATTATTTTAGCATTTATTTTAATGTAAATGAATATGTGGCTTCATTTGGTATAAGTAATTTAGTGCCTACTTATAGAGTAAGTGCTACTTCTAAAAGGTTGTCATTTCACCCGTTCCCTGAAAGAGACAGGAACGCCACAAAGAGCAATATTTTCCTGCCACCTGGGAATTTTTGGAGAAAATTAAATGTGGCTTAGAATTGCCAAATTGAACTTTACAAAATGACTATTATGATATGTAAAGTGCCCTTTTCTGATAGTATTTTATAATTCTGTATAATATGGCTCAATGCTCCAGAGAAATATTAAGAGCTGCATTTTGCACATATGTCGTCCTTTTTAATGGCTGTTTGATGCCCACTGTTCACAAAGGAGTCACCTACCTGGAGGGAAGAAGAAAGTGCACGCTAATTCTGAGCAGACAGACCAAATACTTACTCTGTGGGGATAGAAGCCGGGCAATTTATGGCCAGCAGCACAGGTTAATTGCCTGAGGGAACCATGGAACAGTTATAAGGATTCTTTAAATATAGTGTTTCTCACTGGCCCGGGCGGTATTTGAAAGCCTACTGATTATCCCCGGAGATCGGTGAATTATTGTCAGGATCCTAATGGGGTGATGAGGATGGGCAGCCCTTTCTACTCAGGATGAGTCAACTTGGGTTTTTCCTACAGAGCAAAGCAAATCGTTTGTGAATGGAGAAAAAGTCAGCGCCTTCAAAGGGCATTGCAAAAATAAAGTAGCCTTTTTATGTTAATAGTGTATTAGTTTGTCTCAACATTTAATTGGAAAAAAAGGTTAAGAATAAATACAACTATGACGATGAAAAGCCTTGCGTTTAAGGCTTTTCCGTGCATTTAAAACTGTTCTGTGAATGGGGACGCTCTGGGTTCAACAAGTAGATGGGTCTCCTTGGACATCGTGGTGATAGCCCCCACCCCGCCCTAGCAGAAGGATCGTGGGTGGACTACTAGATAAGGCCACATCTGTCCCTCTTTCTCTGTTCTAGGTCCCCGATCTTTGCTCCTCTCTACCTCAATCCCGGCGGGGCTCCTGTGTACACGGTTTTCCAGACAAGTCAGCGAGTTGATGTTAATACATAGCAACTGTCTGCCTATTCCTCCAACTGAGAAGGGGCCGGTGCAGGAGGATGGGGCGGCTTCCCTGACCTTGAGGAGGAGGTTGTTGGCATCCTCTCAGTTCCCTTTGCCCCACCTGGCGCCCTGGGCCTTCAGACTGCTGAACGTACCCTATTCATCTACCCTATTAGACTCCCACTTCCCTAAGTCATCCCAACTCAGCACTCTCCTCGCTGTTCTCCACCGTTCAGTTCAAACCAGCATTTAACCCCCATGGATTCCAGCGACTGGGTTCAGTGACCTGGTAGCAGCGTGCTTATTATTTCCCAGAGAGAGCTATGTCTCTCCGGTTTGGGAACTAGGACCAGACCGACATCCTGGTCAAAAGTTTAGGTTGGCAGCTTCCTTCCTTCACCTAAGATGAGAGTGTAGGCTTAGTGTCTGCTTCAGGGATCAGAGTGGATGCTCATAGGGAAGGGGAAGGCAAAGCTACCATTAACCCTCCCACGACAGCTTTTGAAGAAAAGGAAGCGATCTTGGGAGGAGTGAGAAAAAAAGAAAGCACCTACATGTGTCATTGGCATCAACAGGCCTCCACAGCTCCTGCCCCATTTCCAGCCCCTCTTTAGAGTCAACCCTGTCCAAAGTCCGGTAAACCTGCCACCCCGATGTTCTCATTTCCCTCAGCTCAGTCCATCCTTCTAAAACTGCTGTCACCCAACACCCCACGGATCTCCATGTTTCCAAATCCAGGGGACACCTCTATTCTCTCCGTATTTAACGTGAGTGATTATAATAGCATGCTGAATTCTAGGAGACCGGCCCATCCTAACTTGTACATCTGCACACAGTGTCTCCTTTTACTAACGAAGACACTGAAGCTCTGAGAAGTTGATGCCTAGGTTTCACACAACTCGACTCACAGAGAAGGAGCCCGAACCCCAGGCAGTCTGACTGCAGCATCTCCCACTGCAGCTCCGGGCTGTGTGGACTCGCAGTTAACCTCTCTTTCAAGTCCTGTTCTTTCAACCTTGACCATAGCCCATGGCTTTCTCTTTCTCATACACCGACTTCTCTTCCCCCACCCAAACTCTCAAGGTTCAATCCAAGATCCTCTTCTCTCTTTCCCCTGTATTCTCATATGCCGACTTCTCTTCGCCCACCCAAACTCTCAAGGGTATGATTTCTCAAGGTTCAATCCAAGATCCTCTTCTCTCTTTCCCCTGTTTCTTCCTAAGCGGTCTCATTAATTTTCATGGACTTACTGCCACCTTTATATTGACGCGTCTTAAATGTACATTTCCAGCTCCAAACCCGCATATGTAACTGCCTGTTTTATGAGCCACTGGGATACCTCAGTCTCATTAATTTCATGGACTTAATGCCACCTTTATATTGACGAGTCTTAAATGTACATTTCCAGCTCTAAACCTATGTATGTAACTGCCTGTTTTATGAGCCACTGGGATACCTCCCAATGTCTAAAACTTAGCATGTTCGAATAGAATGCTTACTCTTCTTCACAAAACGTTGTCTCCCCACAAACTTTCCCATACGGTGACTCCAGAAACCTGAGTCAGTCTCTCCTTCCCCTCCACACCCACATCCCATTGCCATCATCAACTCTTTTTTTTTTTTTTTAATCCTCACCCGAGGATTTTTTTTTATTGATTTTTAGAGAGAGGGAAAGACAGAGAGAAACATCAATGTGAGAGAAACACAGTGATGGGTTGCCTCCTGCCAAGGCCCGACCAGGGCCCAGGGAGAAGCCTGCAACCGAGGTACATGCCCATGACCAGAACTGAACCCTTGGACCCTTTGGTCCTCAGGCCAATGCTCTATCCTCGGAGCCAAACCAGCTATGGCCACCATCAACTCCTGATGTCCCAACTTGACATCATGACCAGAACTGAACCCTAGACCCTTTGGTCCGCAGGCCAATGCTCTAACCTCAGAGCCAAACCGGCTATGGCCACCATCAACTCCTGATGTCCCAACTTGACTTCCAATCCCCATTTGCATCACCAGCATCTTTCACATACATTCCTACAACAGCCTTTAAACTTCTCGCTCTGCAATCCATTTATCCTCAGCAGAAAAATGATCTTAAAAACGTAAGTTCAATCACTTTACTCATCTGCCTACAACCCTCCAGGGCCTCCCACTGCAGTTGAAATAAAAATCCAATTCCTTGCTATGGCCTTAAAAAGCCTAATCTGACCCCTGCCCATCTCCAGCCTCATTTAGGTCCCCCTTCCCAGGGAACCACAGCCACACTGGTCTTTGTTCCTTAAACATGCCAAGTTCTTCTTGCTTCCTCTCTTTCTTGCACATGTAGTTTTTGCTGCCTAAAAGCACCCCCTCCCATTCTTCAGCTGGCAAACGTGAGTATATGAGGTTCCATGGCAAAGGGAACTGAGCTCGCAGATGGACGTTCGCTGCATTTAAGATAGGGAGATGATCCTGGATTACCTGAGTGAGCCCAGCGTCATGACAAGGGTCCTTCAAAGTGGCAGAAGGAATTGGAAGAGAGACTCAGAGGGAGGGCAGCATGAGAAGGATGCTGCCCTCTGCTGCTGGCTTTGAAGCTAGAGAAGAGGGGGGTCAAGAGCCCCAAGCGTCAAACCTCCGCAGTGTGCAGAGCCTCGAAGATGGAAAAGGCGAGAAAATGGGTCCTCCCCGAAAGCCTCCAGAAGACACACGGCTGGGCTGACAGCTTGACTCAAGCACAGTGAGACCTACTTCCGACTTCTGAACTACAGGGCCGTCAGATAAATTGGTATTATTTTGCCCACTGCAGTTGAAATAAAAATCCAATTCCTTGCTATGGCCTTAAAAAGCCTAATCTGACCCCTGCCCATCTCCGGCCTCATTTAGGTCCCCCTTCCCAGGGAACCACAGCCACGCTGGTCTTCTTTGTTTCAAACATGCCAAGTTCTTCTTGCTTCCTCTCCTTCTTGCACATGTAGGTTTTGCTGCCTAAAAGCACCCCCTCCCGTTCTTCAGCTGGCGAACGTGAGTATATGAGGTTCCATGGCAAAGGGAACTTGAGCTCGCAGATGGACGTTCGCTGCATTTAAGATAGGGAGATGATCCTGGATTACCTGAGTGAGCCCAGCGTCATGACAAGGGTCCTTCAAAGTGGCAGAAGGAATTGGAAGAGAGACTCAGAGGGAGGGCAGCATGAGAAGGATGCTGCCCTCTGCTGCTGGCTTTGAAGCTAGAGAAGAGGGGGGTCAAGAGCCCCAAGCGTCAAACCTCCGCAGTGTGCAGAGCCTCGAAGATGGAAAAGGCGAGAAAATGGGTCCTTCCAGAAGACACACAGCTGGGCTGACAGCTGGACTCTAGCACAGTGAGACCTACTTCCGACTTCTGAACTACAGGGCCGTCAGATAAATTGGTATTATTTTGAGCCAACATGTTTGTGGCAGTTCGTTACAGCAGCCACAGAAAACTAATATGGTGTTGTTGTTTTTTAAACTGTTACGTGACTGATGAATAACTTACAGCATTACAAAACTTGTGCAATATGAACATGTTACAAAACATTATGTATCATTATACCACAGAAGGTAATGCTCATCATGGATCACATATAGTGGCCAACACATTGAGAGTATTTTGTCAGTGTTTATTCTCTTACGCTTCTTCTTTCCCGTCAGAACACACTTGTCTAGCAGACAGATATCTAGTTCTATATAATCAACATATGAATTGTTAATACCCCGATGCTACTGAAATCAAATAACCGTTAGGATGTAGTTCCCCTAATGTTGTTGTGACATATGACAAAGTGAGCTCAGAGGATTGCCTGCCAATTTGTTATTCTGTGGCTCTGATGAAAGATGACTTTTCCTTCTGCAGATTTTTATTGAGCGTGGCTGTTGCATATTAACTCTGTTCTTTCGCTTCATTATTTAGAGGCCTTGACAATTTGAACACCAGAGAATTATCCTAAGGATAGAACTACAAGTGTTGCACCTTAAAACAAATGTGTGATTTGATCTTAGTGTTACCCATTGTAAAAACTGTGTTCATTTTAGCCCATTCAACACCTCCCTTGCTCTTTTTGGGGAGGAGGGTGAGGAAAGGTGGATGATTCTAATGAATAATTCTAATAAGTCATAACTATTTATACCGAATCCAGTGGCAGTACAAAACATAAAACATTAAATGGTTATTATAAAATGTTACATTGTGTAGTGAAATGTATACACAGGATGTTGTGACTGAAATCCTATAATTTTAGACTATCTTTAAAACAGTTTGCTCAGGGGGTCTTATGACTGGGAAGGATTATGGGAGGGGAATGGGAGTGCTGGCTTAGGGCTACAATAGCTACACTGGTTAATTTATATAGTATTATGTTCATGATATCACATAACCTCATTATATTAATCATATAGCTTGTTCTCTTTACTTTTAGTGGAATTCTTAGGAAGAGATGGCTCAGAAGCCCAGAGGCTCTTTAACAAAAGGAATACAAATTATGATACAAACTTAGATATGAAAGTCAATATTTATTTAGAATAAGGGAAAAAAAATCACAAGATGTGACAAACATCACAACATACAGAAAAGTAACATAACATTTTTATTGATTAGCTGTTTTTAGACTTCTTTGATAATTCCCCCCTACATTTTTGGGAAGCAAACTCTTTGGTTGCCTCTTCATGTGATAATATTTATAAATTTTTCCATAGAGAGAATAGAAAGATAGTTTAGTTTTCACACTTCCATGATTGATTACAATTTGGCTTTTATTTTTGATAGTTTAGAAATATCCCTTACATCTTCCCTAATCATTTTTGTTTATGTCATAGTCATTGTTAGGCTTGTTGTCAGATTTAGAAAACCTATATTAATTGTGTGTTTTTTTTCTTTTTGGGCATTCCAAGTTTCTTGTGCAGTGTTTAATTTTGAATTGATGACACTTATTAACCAGTTTGTCATAGGTGTCCTTTTTGTAGTGATGTATTATGAGTTTATATTATATTAATTGATGTCAGTATTTGGTGTCACATAATCAAGACATTTAATTTTTTCCAAAGTATTCTTATGATTCACTCCTCTTTATGAATTGCGTTATCAAACAATCCATAAGCCTATTCATTACTTCTAGTCAACTTATTTATTCTTCTTTATAAATTACTGCATTTGATATGATGAATTTTTTAGTTGCAATTCACATCTTAGTATAGAAATAAATTTCTATTGATTTTATTGCTCTATATATCCTTCTATTGCTTTTGTTTCTTACCCCATTACTTTTTCAATTGAATTTTTCTCTCAGTTCTTTAAATACATAAAATTTAAAGACAGCAGAAAGGACACTCCGTATTTACACAGATCTGGAGTCTAATTCTGGAATGTTCTAAAATATCCTTCCAAATTTCAATTACATTTTTCTAACTCCGTTTCCCCTTCACCAGATTCCCAAAATGTTCTGTACCACTAGAATACCACCTGGAAAAAGACCATAGTTTTAACTGTGGCGAACGTGCGTCTTTTAGTTGTATTTTTGAAGTGGTTGTTTGCGGCAGCAGTCTCCGGTGTTTACCTATGCCGCCATCTTGGTCTCTCTCAATTACATTTTTCTAACTCCGTTTCCCCTTCACCAGATTCCCAAAATGTTCTGTACCACTAGAATACCACCTGGAAAAAGACCATAATTTTAACTGTGGCGAACGTGTCTTACTTTAGCAAATTTTACAAAAACTTAACAACCATGTTAGTACATTTCCGGGCTCCTCCCAGGGCCTTGAAGTGGCTTGTTGGAGGGAAAGGTCTGAAGCTCCAATGGTCAGTCTGCCCATGGACAGTAACACTGAACACCCTGGGTGGGAGGCACTGTGGTCAGAGGACTAGTCACACCACCACGGCCAGGCAAGGGCTTCTTCACAATATGCGCCTTGTAGCTTACATCACCGCAGACTCATCCCTAGACAAGGATGTAGATGGTGGTTTACATGGGAGGTGATCCCAGGAAGTACAAAAGAGGAAATGGGGAAAGGAAGAGAACCAATTAAATGTGGTTCAAGAGTAATGTAACGTTAGGGTTCTGGGACAACTATGCCTCAATCCCACCGAGGACCCTTTGAAAAACTTTGTGAAACCCAACTCAGAGTTTTCCCACCAGAAGCTGGGGACGCTCCCAAGGCCCTTGGAATGGAAGATGGCAGGGGAGGCCAGAAGCTGCCCATCTGCCAGGAACCAGGGCTGCAGGTGAACTCGGGAGGACTCGGGATACGGGTGGGCAAGAACGTGT